TCAATAGTGAATTTTCATTAAATAGAGATTAGCTAATAAAATTTATTGATTTCAAATCGCATTTTTGTACTTACCACTATCTCTGTCAATAACAAATTTTCGTTAAATAAAGATTAGCTAATAACATTTATTGATTTTAACTCATTCATAGGATCCACAGGGGGCTATCTTGGATAGGTGGACACTGGCCAGTCAAGAAGAAGAGCAACTAATATTGCAGCAGTTTCTCAGATTTGGAGAGACTAAGTCTATTGCTCATCAATTACTCTTTCAGGAAACGTGTAAAAAGCGTGACTACATCATTCGGTCCTCTAAAACAGATTCCGACATTATGAAATTCATTGAGCAGACAAATAGGAAGGTTAGCACAGCTATTTTAAAAAATGACAGTTTCATTCCTTTGACTACAAATTTGCAGTCTTCCCATTCGTTGAGTACATCATCTATTCTACATCCACGCTCTAGCATTAGTCCTAGTCGGCCTGTTTCATCTCATGGGTGGTCTCTAGTAACCCCTGGCAGTCCTCTACCTGTTTCACCTTTGAATAAGATTCAGAACTTGCAACCACTGGACTACCGGCTGGAGAAAACAACGTCAGAAGTAAGTAACCATGATATTCTTCCAATTATTCCACCAACCACATTCAATCCGGAGTATTCTCCCACATCTCGCACCTTTAAATTTTCGCCTGCTCTCGGAAGCCATGCTCTGTCGATCACTAGTACCTCAAAATATAGCATAACAGATGTTGGTTTCGTTGAGAATAACAGCACGGAGATGAATCTGAGTCAGACAGCTAATCATACCTTTGACTCAGTATACGATGCCAAGAAGGTGAAACGCCTTCGAAAGTCCACCAACCCCATGAAACGGAAGTGGAACTCTCTAGTGTTCAGCACCGTGAAAGCTAAAGCTGCCAGCAAAACTCGGGCACAGTGCCTTGTGTGTTTTAAGACGTTTTGTGACAAGGGCGCTCTCAAAATCCACTTTAGCGCTGTTCATCTTCGAGAAACGCACAAGTGTTTAGTAGAAGGGTGCAACAAGATGTTTAGCTCTCGAAGGAGTCGTAATCGTCATAGTGCTAATCTCAATCCCAATCTTCATAAGAGAAACGTCAGAAGAAAATTCATTCCCCATGACGATCGATCGACATGTTCTTTAGATATGCCTCCAGCTTCTCCTTCGAATTGTGACAATTATTTTATACCCGAATGTATTGAGAGTAACCTCCCGAAGATAATAAATCATCCTATGGCTACCAGCACTTCTTCTCCATCAAGTATTCCAAGTGTGTCTCAACCAGAAAATCTTTCTGGTACATATTATCATAACCTCGAAAACTATGCAATTCCTTTGACTACAAAATGCAACTTAGAAGAAAATATCCAAGATGTTCATATGAGTAACGACCTAGAAAATGTTGACCCTTCAAAAGTAAATGATTCTTCATCTAAAGGTAAAAATGTTCATAAGCGAAAGAGTGTAAATCCAGTCAAATTTTCTATAACCAGTGAACACGACATCCAGTACATTTCTTCTGACGAATTGTCAACTCACACATTATTAGATCAAACGTACAATGAAAATGAGTTTTTGGGGACGATATCTGATAACCACACTCCGAATTTCCACTGTGACTTTAAGCAAGGAGGCCAGGTATATGAAAGCGAAAGAAAATGTTATGGTAATAAGAGAGTAAAAGAGGAATATAGACAACTCCTGGAGTATCCATTCAAAGAAAATGAAGAACAGAAGGTTGTCACTAGGAAAGATACAACAGAACCCACCGACTTAAGTAAGCATCCATTGCAGCATCTAGAATCTCTTGCGATGGAAGCTTTTACAAATATAATTAGAACGACCCACAATAATATCGGATTACGTTCACTGCATAGGGTTTCACATCACGCGTCAAGTTTACCTCTGGCGATGCCCCAGACTTGTGAAAGCTCACAAAGTTACTCCGCCTGTTCACCATTAGAACACATAAAAAAATCTACTGCTAGTGTGGCCCCTAATTCCCAGGAAATTACCACAGGTGACCATAATTCAAATCCGGGTGACCAACTGATTTCTTTCATTCCGAGGTACAGAGATGCCTCTATGGTTTGTACTGTAGACGTTCCGATCGACAAAGAAAATCCACGACGATGCGTCGCTTGTGGTAAGACTTTCCAAAACCACTTTAGTGTAAAGACCCATTATCAAAATGTGCACCTGAAATTATTGCACAAATGTAATGTTGAAGGATGCACTGCAGCATTTCCTTCAAAACGCAGTCGGGACCGGCATAGTACAAATTTGAACCTTCATCGAAAGTTGCTTTCTACAGACAACCCCCCTTCTGTGTTGGACAAAACCAACTTGTACCAATCGCATCCAAGAGCTTTTAGAGAAAATATGCTTTGTTATTCCCGTGCCCTACCACTACGTTTGGAAGACTTTTACCTTGGAAGAATTTATGGATCTGAGGAATATTTTCCAAGTTCGGCTTTTGTCAACCATTTAGGGGCAGGAACTATTTCTCCTTTCCATTCAGCTTTCTTATCTCCGGTGACTACGACAAGCACTTCAGTTTCGAAGAGTTTATTTGGATTAAGTGGGGCTAAAGGGCAAACAACTTCTAACTGTTCATAGACCACTTCCTCCAGTCTTCGACCGCCAACGGCCAAATCAAATCATCAAAAGTATTCTTACATCTTCTTCGAGGAAGAACCAGTTTCGGACCATTGGGGGGAATTGATAGTTTATTAAGCATTTGATATAAATTTCATATATACATGATAACATGAAATATTGGTTTTATTTTAAACAATAAGTAATAAGTACGACAAAAAGAGAACTAAGACTGTTGAGCTCGTTATATAAACACTAAGTCAAATTGTGAAGACTTTAACCGACATATTGTCCATAGTTTACTCCATTTGTCATATCCTATTGTACAAACAATTCATTTCACTCTGAGCTATAGATGAGGCTAGAGAACAACAACCAAAATTTATTTGTTCGGGAGCCACCTCTACACATATTGTCCATAGTTTACTCCATTTGTCATATCCTATTGTACAAACAATTCATTTCACTCTGAGCTATAGATGAGGCTAGAGAACAACAACAACAACAACAAAATTTATTTGTTCGGGAGCCACCTCTTCCAGCTTTCGACTCCCGGCTGCCAATACCTTCTTTTTCATATAATATTTCATTTTGAATTTTATAAATATATTTATGGTTGTATTACAACTGAGCTATTTTTGATTATCTATTTTTTTTTTTTTTGGTTGGTTGAATGTTACAGTTTTTAATCTTGTGATACCATTGTATAATTTTTAATATTCACCGCAGGCATACGTTATGGACTTGAGCTCAAAACTTACAGTAAAGATTCAATCAAAGTAATTGACAGAGAACTAAAATGATTTTAAGGCATCTAATAAGCCTGTTATGGTTAAATATATATTGTCAATGAAATTGTTTAATATAATGAAAAGCTTTATGTCTATTTATTTTGTTCCCATGAATAAATCGCACTATTTACTTATTTAATTAAATATTTATTGGTGATATCTTTTTGGGTTAACTATGAGAGGTGACATATGTATATTATCTACATATGTGTGTGTGTATATATACAGATGCATATCCCAATGGCTCGGCATGGCCAAGTGGTTAGGACGCTCGATTCGCAATCTGAGGGTCGCGGGTTCGAATCCCAGCCTCACCAAACATGCTCGTTCTTTCAGCCGTTGGGACGTTATATGTGGCGGTCAATCTCACTACTCGTTGGTACAAAAGTAACCCTAGAGTTGGCGGTGGGTGGTAATGACTAGCTGTCTTCCCTGTAGTCTCTCAATGCTAAATTAGGGACGGCTAGCGCAGATAACCCTTGTGTAACTTTGCGCAAAATTCAAACCAATCAGTATATCTCTATCTACATAGTCTTTCAGGGTTTTTCACAACTTGTCCCGTTTTTTTTTTGTTTTTACATTTATATTAATGGCTGTTCACAATTCTAAGGTTACACAATTCTAAAAATCATGTATTCATTCTGTCGTGATGTGGGTTAGACTCCCCGTCACCGAACATGCTCGACCTTTCAGTCGTGGAGACGTTATAATTTTACAATCAATCCCACTATTCGTTATTAAAATAGTAGTCCAAGAGTTGGCGCTGAATGATGTTGACTAGTTGTCTTCCCTTTAGTCTATCACTGCTAAATTAGGGCCGGCTGAACCAAAACAAATTGTTATGATGAATTCATTTTGCATCATTACTCTACGAAATGCCCGAGTTATGATGAGATTCTCCATGAAAATAAGAATTAGACGAAGGTGTGTACACTCTAAAAATAAAAGTCACCTGTGTTGACAAAGGGAGAATTAACACCCTTACTAGAGTAAAGTTGAAACAAATGAAAGTTCACACTCATGCTATGTGTATAATGTGAATTTATAAACAGAATGGAAAGTCATGTAAGTGATATGTGAAAATTAAAAACTGTTACCAAAATCACTTGCATATATTTTGGCAATGAGTCAATTTTTACCATCACATTCCCTCCAGAAAAGAATATTTGGTTACTGTTATTGTTTCTGTTCATAAAACCATGCTTCACTAAGATTAAAAACGTTTCTAAATAATTACTC